GCTTCGGGTCTCTACATGGACTCGGTGTTCAATCGGAACAGTAGAATCCGTGAGTGGCTTTCGCCAGGATAAGCTTCACACGGCATCTACGCAAAGCCTCCGCTCATCGGCTGACCCCAGACGGCTGGTAGTGGCTGTCCCGCGGCGGCGTGACAAGAAATGGTAGCGACAGCTACCTACTTGGGCACGGCCGTTTGTCAAAGACTTGATGGCGTGAGCGGCTGGAAGGTAATGCAGAATGACGTAAGCATCCTGCATTCAACGCCCTGTACGTGGGTTCCTTCCTTGACCATCAGCTGCTTGCCTTCTCAGTCCCTTGCCCCATGGGTCTTAGAAGCACTACGAGTATAAGCCCGACAAGACGATGGGAATTCCAGCTTTTTGAAGCTGGTAGGCGGAATGATGCAGGCTTTCAAACTGAAATGAAGGTTCGACAGAAGTTAGGACGGTACCATGTCGGACCTTCCTGATGCTTGTATAGCGCCCTTGAAAGACTATCCGATGGCTATACAAGGACAAGTACGTTAACCTATTACATGATTCGGCTTGTAGCGGAAGTCTTCCTAGCCCTGGACTGGGGCTTCGGCTGGTAGTGAAATCCAGATGCGCCCTCAGCGCAGCTTTGGACGACACGCGGCCTTTTTTCTGTCGGTGTTCTTGCTAACAGCCGAATTCGGTGGTGGTCTGCGCAGACGTATTTCTATATGATGTGAGGTTATGCAAGTCGTCTGAAGCAAGCTGCTCAAAGGCTGAATAAGGAGACCAGATGCGATCTGCGGTTCTCCTCAGCGGGCGAACGGAGAGCTTTTTCTCAGATCTTGCCGCAGATGTGCATGTGGAAGCTTCTCAAACTCTCGGGGGACCCTCTTCCTCGGAGCAGTTGATTTCAGGGCTTATCGTTAGCTGGACCCCCAGGCTTTGTGAAACAGCTTCGAAAGCGTGTTTTCAGCACCGCGAGATCGACAGTTGGAAACGAGTTTGGTCCAGGCATCGGTGCCCAAGGCACCTTTACATGGGCATGAGAGCCACGGCGTTCTCGCGGGAGGCACAGGGGTGAGTAGCAGCTTGGATGCGAAATTCTCCAACCCTCCAGTCTTGAAGGATCCCTCTGACAGTCTAGATTGCGTGATCGCAGATCTCAACTCGGGGAAGTACGGGGCCGATGCATGTATTGTTCGAGGTTTCGGCTTCTCACTTTGCCGGACTCCCACGGACGGTTTGCTGGCCGTTTTTCCTTGAGGAATTCAACCTTGCAACAAGCAGCCTGGTTCTGGCTTAGTCACCTTAGCTGCCACGATGGTATGGTGAGTCCGTTCCTGAAGTTTGGAATTTGGTCCAGAACGTCCTGCAACTTGCGTCTTATCCAAATACCAAATTGGCATCGGTTCAGCTAGTTATACCAGTCCATTGTGTTGCCATCCGGTGGGAGCCCTCTCCAGTTCGCACACCCTGTTTGCACAGCGTGAGATGGTTGGGGGATGAGGTGTTCCTGCAATTTACATGCCCACCTATAGGCTCTCAAGCAGTCATTGCTTTACCATACTTACACCTTTAAGACCTTTAAGTTCTGAATGCAAATCCCTGTACCTTTGAAGCAAATCCAGGCTGACAAAGTGCGTTTCCGTTTCACCGGCAGTGCGGAGTATCGTTTATCAAGCGGAGGCGAGGATGCTAACATCGCCCGACCCGAGGATGACAGTCTAACTGCTTAGCTATACGGAAAGGAGAGTTTCACATAAGAGTCAGAACAGGTTTAGAGGGCTGAAGGTTTTAGGGTCAATGGGTTCAGGGGAGGAGTTGCCGATGCCCACGCTCTCGCTTGCATTTCACGGCTGCGGCATGTTTCGTCGCCTTGGCCTCATCGGTGCTCCAGACATGCTTTCGGGCAGTGCACGCGGAACAAGAAGGCCCGTTCTCACAATGTGAGTATATCTTACTTCTCACGGCCGAATGTGCAAGATAGTAAGTAAATGTAGCACTTGTCCTCGCACCCTTCCAAGCACTCCGAGATGCCAGATGATTTAGGACCCTACCACTGTAGGAAGAATGGTGGAGACTTATGGTGGAACAAAACCCAAGGTTTACCAAGCCGTTTTCCTGCCCCCTGCTTCAGCCAAAGAGCAACATATGCTTGCATTCGGAGTCTATGAAGCTTTGAAGGTGTGGGCAGTCGCATCTGATGCAAAGCTTCCTTTACGCACCATGCTGCTCAAGCCAGATAGACACCGAAGTTTCCACCCCGAGCCTTGGTAGGGTCTACAGGGTTTAAATCGCAAGTTAAAAATCAAAGTTTGCAGAGTTACATCACTCTTCAGAAATGCTTCTTGCTGTAAGCGACTCCGGAATAAACACATTTTTTAGTTGTGATCGGGGACCCCTCCGAAGTGACACCGAAGTTCGAGAAAGGTGGGTTTTTTGTGGTCAAGGGTTTACAACTACGCATTTAGGGCTCCAGGCATCGTGGCTTGGAGTGATGGGTGGTTGATAATGTGGGGGCCTGTTTAAGCCGGTAGGAGTCTTTAATCCGTTTTTTTGCTTATTGAGGCCGGCACTTTTTTTTTGGGTGGGGGGTCTCTACAATGCGTTTTTGTTGGCCGGTCGATGGTTTTTTTATTTTGCTTCCTTTCTGCTAATGGTCAATCTTAAGGCACCCACAAATTTCTTCCCTGAAGCCCGAAAAACATAACCCTAAACCCCCTTAACCCTAAACCCTTTACCCTAAAACCTCACACTACTGCATTATCAGTACTACTACTGTACTCTTGCAATACCTCCCAGTTGGAAGCCGGTTTTTGGAAGTGCTAGATTCAAGATGGGTGGTGGATCCTTGGGGTGATGTCTACCCCACTCTTCCGTGCATATCATGCAGCGAAAGCAAGGAGCAACAGCTTTCTGCGACACGTCCTGCGGAGCAGTATATATGTGGAATTCATAAACACAAACAAAAGAACTGCAAGATGATACGCTCCCGGGATGCCTCACCCCCAAGATCCAGAAGCATGGAATCCTTCACCTTCACATGCGAAGGAGGTGCCGCCTGTTTCGAGCAACATCACAGGCTGAAGAACTCGTAGCGACAGGACCTGGCATGTGTGGGTAGTGGACTCTAGCAGCGATGGGGATGACCACATCATCTCAGCTTGTAGGAAGACGCCTCGGCTCTGGGAAGTCAAACTTGAAGTTGAGATTCCTGTTTGCGTAGGGCCTTCCCTCCGAAGCACCATTGCAAACGGTCCTTTGCTGCTGCCGCTACTGCACTGAGAATACTTGTTGCTGCACAAGAAACGGCTTCTGCTACTGTACTGCTGCTGCTGCTGCTGCTGCTGCTACTGTTACTGTTGCTACTGTGACTGCTGCCTGTTGATACTGCTGTTTCGTTGCGCAGGGTCATCTTGCCTGCTGTGCAGGCTGTGTCGTGCCATCCATCGTGTGACTCCTCTCATGACCACTGCAAGCACGAGTTTGTGATCTTGCTGCTGCTGCCATAGCAGTGCCACCTACTTAATTAGGCTGTGATGTGTGCCGCCTTGATAATGACAAATGCCTAAGCAGTCCCAAATGTTCCTCACGAGCAGCAATGTGGTATTGCTGTCCTGTCATTATTCGTGTTCGTATAGTACGCCTCATATCTGTTCGCAGCCGCTTCCGTTGTACGTGAATCCGAATGTCTGAAATGTGTACTGCATCTTGTTCATACCCTTGGAAAAGGCCTGCTCGATGTAGTGGTTTAGTGTATTACAGTGTAGTACAGTACAGTAGAGTAGAGAAGAGCAGAGTGGACCAGAGTGTTGTACAGTATATCCATACTGTTAAGTTGAAGGATCTCCTGGGATCTCCGGCGACCGGGGTTTCGACGAGATGGATGTCGGGGCCAGCCCGATTTGGCAACTGCCGCAGTCCGGCGAAGTGGTCAAGCGATTGGGTTTCATAGGGTTTGGTTTGGGGCTTCGGGATTTTTGGGCTTGGGAGTTTAGGGAGTAGGGTTGGGTATTTTCTTGGGTCTTTTGCTGCCGGGAGACATTGAGCTGAAGTTGTGGGCTGGGAGGGTGGAAAAGTCAGGCTGCCCGTACACGTCCCTGACTCTAATGCCCTGATGACGGGGTTGCCCTGGGTTTGGCTTATTTGGTTGATTTTCTTGGTGTCTGGAACCTGGTCATCCCCGTCTAGCACAGTTGAACGTATCGTCACTTTCCAACCTCGCTAGTGGGCATAGAACCTCAGCCATGCGAGAGGGAAAAAAATGGAACACAAGCCTTGAGCATCATCCCGGGCCTGGTGTCGTTGCTGCATGGGGATGCCTCATGAGTGCAGAGGCACTGTTGTCTGTCTGTGTAGTTGTTAGGCTGCCTTTCCATAAGCAGATGTGTACAGAACGGTGGGGATGGCTTTCTCCTGTTGAACCCCGAGGTCAAGAGATTTGGAGTTTTGGCAGCGGCTCAAACCAGTAAAGACAACACAAAAAACTTGGCGCATAAAGTGCTTGATCGACCCCATCCGGAATGCGAGTCGTGTCGCTCTAGATCGCCATGAAAGAAGAACTCAGGAACGAGGAGAGCGACATCAGCCTGAAGGACGTTTGGATTGTGAGGGTTTTAGGGTTGAACAGGTTATGGCAAAAGATCTTTTGTGGTTTCTGTGTCTCTAGCCGTCAGAGTTGGCTATCGGTTTATCAGTGAATCGCTTCCGCTTCAGGTCAGCACGATTGTTCAATTTCTATGACTAGCATACCAGACCCGTAGCTGTGACGAAGCTTCGCTCTGTCTTCTAGGGTGCTCCTCCGCACAGGCTCTCCGTGTGAAATTCGGAAGTTGCCGAGAATATTTCTAGGTACCGAACTGCTGGTCCCCGTGGCGCTGGGTTGATTCTATTGTAAGCCCTGGCAGCCACAGGCAAGTCTTGAGTTTCTTGAGCAGGTGAGGACCAGCATGCCCAAGAGTTGACAAAGGGCATTACACCCGAAGAACTTGGTTTTTGCAACTTTGCCATGGAGTTCACATAAGATGCTTAGTTCAAGAGACTCCCGAAGCAACAGCGCATTGGCGCAGGAAAGCTGCTGCGCCTGTTTCGCGCGCTTCATCTCCGTGCTGTTTGCATTGGCCGTAGTTCTTTTTGCTGTGCTGGGTGTGGCGACGATCGTCATTGCACCTCCGCGAGGGAAGCACAGAGATTGGTTTGTGGTCAGATTTGGTAGATGGGCTTCTGACTTCGAACTCTGTAAGTCCCTTGCGATAAACTGCAAACTCGGTCCCAATGCGAAGACGCCCTCCTATCCAAGGATGGCGCCATCCGTGTTCAAGAGGAGAGCTGTGTGGTGACCGGCATGCTGTCACCACTCGACCCAGTGTGCCGGCTTGCTCTGATTCTCTTTGCAAGCATAATGACTTGCTGTCTGAGCAAGGTAGTCTAAAGTGACCACAGGATCGGCTCTACACCTATGTCAATGTGTCTTTACCGACAGGAGGTGTATGGTGAACCCTTGACGTGTTTCAGTGTATTGAAATGTCATCCTTGTGCAACCTGCCACGAAACACCACATGCACTGTCTTACCGAAGACTCGGAAGGATATCCAGCTATACGAGATTGGTGCCAGACAGGTAGAGGCTCGCGTGAAGGCACGCAGGATATTCGGGCTTGGTCTAACTACAGCCAGATAGCTCGGCAAATCCTCACCCTCTCGATGTCGGCTGTTGGCTTCCAATTTAGATACCTCCTGGGACGTGGGTATGACAGTTCTTGTTTGTCCGTGGTTGTGGCTACCGATTCAAGATTACTTAAGTAAGGGTCTGAAGCATGTCGGGTTTCGGGCCTCGGTCGACATCACGCAAAAGGACCAATATGGTTACGCAGGGTCTTGGTTGCACCGCGGGCTCTGCGGAGAACAAAAACTAGTGACCACCGAAGTGAATCAGTGAAGGCACATGTGGAGGGGTACATGCATCGAGCCAGGAAGCATTCCATTGTGTTGGTAGTCATTGTTTGCAGCTTAACAGTTCACCGCCCTGCAGATCATCGTGAAAAGCCTTTCGCTGGCCTTGCCAGAAACTTGGCTGACAGTCCCGCGGCGCGTACCGCGTGGATGCCTGAAATAGTGACTATAGTGGAATTCGTCTGCAAGGCTGCAAGGCGCTACGGACCCAAATACCAGAGGTAGCGGTGCTCTCACATTTGGGTGATGACGGACCAAGTCCGGAAGGTCGTTGCCTGTTCCTCGGGCTTTTGTGCCGTGCTTAGACACCTGAATATCCTCACCTTGCCCTGAGATGCCCTGAGCTTCTTCGGAGTACAGCCGGTAGCCTACAACAATTGATAGCTACTGTCATTTATCAAACATTTGAGTGTATCAACTCTATAAAGCCTAGTAAAGCCTCCAGACGAAGCTCCAAACGAGGCATGCTCGGAAGTACCAGGAAGAAGGTCTCGCTCCAGGTAAAACTGCGAAGAAGGAAACCGGTTCTTGAAAATCTGATTTTGTCAGATTAGGCTTTTGGAATCCCTCAGGTTCAAAACTGAGGCTTGCTTTGGGTTTAGCAGGAAGTTCACATGGGCCCCCAGCTCGAACTGGATAGACGCATCTGGCCTCGACATATCCCTCGCTGCTTCAGAAACGCATGAAATATTACTGTAGTACTAGTGGCGACGAGCCCCATCTAGAAACTTTTAAACGCATCTAGTTAACCCCCGTTACAATGCTTAGGTAATAGAGCCGGCTAGCGCACTCGAATGCAATTCTCAGTAAGCTACAGACTCTTGTCTCAGGAGGCCTTTCTCACAACCGTCTCTGAGAAACTAATGGAGAGTGCCAAGCTGGCACTCTCTTCTGCTGTCGGCGGGCTGCTGGGGTACGCGGGGAAGGCACACGAAGCCCTCGCACATGCTTTTGAGGATTTTGGCTCGGATATCGGATATCCTGAAGCTCCTGCCCCAGTCTTGAGACCCAATGTCTGGTTTTCGAAGTAGTGTTCAGCCCAGGGCCTGGAGTCGTTAGTCTCTGGGACTTTGAAGGAGCAGGGATCGACATCGATCGACTGAGGCTAGAGCTGCTCAATGTCCGAAGTTGGGAACCCATGAATGCATCGCACGGGTAATGTAGGCGGAGCAGTCAGCGGAGCTTGGGAACACGGCCAGGCGAGAGGTTACTATTAGTTACGGGCAGGGACACGAGTACGAGTCAACTGTCAGCCCGGGCCGCAGGTGGTTTTCGAGCTGGTGATGCTCGGACTTTATGCTACCTGGCTATTAAGCTACAACGGGCGTCTAACGGCTGCAACATTCAAAGCAAAACTAACATCAGCAAAGACAACGCAAGCATTGGCACCGGCAGCAGGGACATGGACAACAGCCATTGTCAGCAATGTAGCTTCACTAGTATCAGTAGCAATCCTAGCCTCAATTGGAACGAATGATGGTACAGCCGTGAAAAGCCTTTCCAGTGTCGCAACCGTAAAAACCTCGAAATACCACTCCTGATTGTATGGCCGACAGACCCTTAGGTGTTATTCTGGCTGTGTGCGCCAATGCCGCTCAACAGCAAGACTGCCGCTCGGATTATCAAGAGGACCTCCCAGTAAAGTTCAACGTCAGGTTTTCAGCTATACGGAGGGCTTCAGTATTTTCTTCAGAGTGTAGGTTTTACATGGCTTTGCTTGTAGATGTCCATCGCCGAACGGGGTTGTCTTGTTTGGCGGAAAAACTTTCCAAGAAGGCTTAGATCGGACTATATGACGGGCACTGTCTTTGCTGGAATGTCTCGGCGGACAGAAGTTGGAGTCAGGATAGCTGGGAGAAGGTTGCGGCCTGGCTTCAGGATGAGGCTTGGGCCTGCGGCATCCTTCATTGGACATCTGTCTGTCGTCATAGTCAGGAATGAATGGCACCAAGCCCCGCACCTCAAACAAGATAAGACTTCCTGGACGTCACAAATCTGTCGGGTGTCTTGTGCTCCTACTTCCTGACGCTTCTCTGCTGAGGAGACCATCTTCCGACGCTATTTGTTCCTCAAGGGTACTGCTTGCATCTTGGCTTCGTTTGCACAACGTAGCTGCGTAGCTGACGTCAGGCCTATGCTTCGGTAGCTGTACTAGGGCCAGTTAGTAGGGAAATCCGAATGAAGCTGGAATCTGTTTATTTCGAGGCCTTGGGTACGGAGCGCCCTGTCTGCAGCAATCCTGGTCGCCAAAGGACTCAAAACTAGCATGCAGTTTCAGCTACTTTGAGGATTCAGCAATAAGATGGGCTTATGCCCTTACTTGCCCTTGGGCGTCATGGGAATGCTTCCCACATATATTTTAGAGGTCGTTGCGCCTGCACCTGCAAGCAAGCGGAAGCTCGATCAAGGTATGTGTTGGGCTGCTGCTGCATATGCTGAAGGTGCAGCTCCCGATAGTTTACGGCCTCTTGGCATTTGGCATTAGTGGCACTGTCGTGCGACTCAAGCCGCCTAGTTGTGTTTCCGGGTAGTGAGTTTCGGCGGACATTGACTGTACATAAATTTGAAAGGCACCCGTGTGAAGTTCATGGTTCTCAGTCGTCGTCACAGTCCAGCCACGAAAAAGCGTTTGTACAGTCTGACAAAGCTGGCTTCATGCGACCCGAAGGTTCACATGAACAGGCAACGAACGTTTTCCGGAAGTTTGCGAAGCCTTGTGTATCCCCGACCCCACCACCAGACTCCAGACAATCATGTGTGCCATGTGCCTCCCTCAGAGTGCCCGACGATGTTGGGACCTAAACTAAACCCTAGACTCTAAACCCTAAGCCCCAGACCCTAGGAAAAACAAAAAGAAACACCTATAAAACCCGAGCAGTTCTGAGCCCAACGACCCTCCGAAGCGCCCCGAAGCAGTCCGGGGCCAAAAGGCTTGACCTCCTTCGTCTTGAGTTTCATACCCGAGGCTGGGACTCCTTTGTTGCTGCGGTAGGGTTTCTACCTCTTCCCTCGAATGTCCGTGTTGTGGGCAAGTTCATGGGCTAGCTAAGAGAAGCTGCTTGTGGACGAAGACCAAGTGCTGTTGACTTGGGGGGATCGGTTCAGGCACGGGCCGTTGAACAGATGCCTTTTGAAGTTGGGCTGGCTTCTGTGTATGCTTTAGCAGCTGAAATGCAATTTAGTGTCCAACTCTCTCTTCAATCAATGTTGAAACACGAATACTTGTTTTTTGCCGTGCACTTGCGCAGAACATTCAAATGCCTCAGAATTATACCACTGCCGTTCTTGACGTATCTTGCGCGTCTGGCAAGTTGTTTGATCAACTTGGTGTGTGGAGGGCGTTGTTATCTGGCCTCGGCATGTAGACCGACATAGAATCTCACAGCATGACCACTGTCACGGTCAGTTTGAACCAACGCACTCTAACGCAGTCTTCATTTCTCGGACAAAGAATATGATTGCTACAACTGCGAGGAAAGCGGCCACCACGCAATCGATCGTTTCGGTCACTTGAGCCCGAAGTCGTGGACCCTGAAACCGGAAGCCCTGAATCAGCTACAAGTAGCGGCTTTGAGCTTTGACTCCCTCATTCTTCGATCCTTCACTCGGAGGTGGGAGCCTTTCTCTCCATGGCTCTTTCCGTCCCCGTGATTCTGTGCCTTGCCAGCGGATTGATATTTATCACGATGCTTACTATGCCTCATTGGGCGGCATGCTGGAGATCCATCGTAGCTCAAGCGTTGCGCTCAACCTGGATTTGTGTTATTCTTTAGTCCAATCGGAGTTCCGGCGTCCACGAGAGCCACATTTTGTTCATGCCATTCGCCCTTCGCTTGGTACCATGGAAAAACACTGCATGCGGCGCTACGCCTAAACACTCCGAGGGGGTTTGTTTGCGTCATGGTCGCTTTTCTCGTTCTCACTTCAAGGAACGAACGTAAGAGCAGGTAGCTTGAAGGGAACTCTGACACTTTTGCCCTCTGAGGGTGCTGCGTCACATGGCAGTTGCGGGCTTCTGAGACGAAGGGGTTTGGAAGTTTCGAGGTTTGACAGTCGCCTGGAAGCGCCCCTGGCTACGCCTCCTGGCCACACTAGCCGTAATCATAACACTCTACGGATGCGGGCTTTGGGGATTGTCGTTTAGGGTTTAAGGCTTTGGTGTGGTGGACTTTCCGTGCCTTCAAAGCGCCTCAAAGGTTTCGCAACAATCGAGCTCTTTAGGGCATCTCTGAGGCTGCTGACTGCTTTAGCTGCCCAGATTGGCTTGAAGTTTCTTTTCGCCAATGTCGTCGAAGTGAAGCTTCTTGGCGGCATGGATGAGCATGGCAACGTGCCCCCAGCTCAATGTCGTTTATTCTGGCTGCGAAAAGGCCATATGTAGAACCGCAGAACATGCATCAGGCAAAACTTACTTCCATCGTATTGCTTGACTCTAGTGGGTTCAAGTAGCCCGAGTCATCCGTGATTTCCCCGCAAGAGCTAACGGACTAAAGCATACTTCTACTATCGCAAACCCGAGCTTGGACCCTTAGTTAGACAAGGTTTGAAAGAATCTCGGGCTGGACCATCCCAAATCCTGTGAAGCGTTGCTTGCAGGCTTGCGGAAAGAACCGACAGAACTGGACTGCCAGGCTGGTGGAGAATGATTCCACGATGAAAATGCATCCGGTCGTGACGCTTTTGGCTCCAAAGCTGCGCTTACAGGAAGGTGCTGGGAGGGGTTGGGAGCACAGGCCATGGATCTAGAGATCGAAGCTCTTTCTATGTGAAATTCAGGTTGAGTCTCCGGCCCAGAGCTCAGGTCCTCGGGTTGCACCCAAACCAGAACGCGTGATTGACCCAAGCGCCCCAAGCTCTAAACACCAGACATTTCCATGATGGCTGTGTTGCCCGTACTCTTTGTTGCCCTACAAGTTCAAGCACAGAAGCCTGTAAAACGATAGGTTATAATTACGGTTTGGGGCAGACAGCTTCGTGTAGCTTCTGACAAAGACGCGTGCTGTCGTGGTTGAGCCCCAGTCCAAGCCCTGAATCAGCACGACACGAGGCAAGAAACAGTAAGCCATCAAGCTGAGTAGAGCAAAGACACCAAATCCAATTCCAATTCAGACCCCGTGAGAATCTGGAGAGGAAGTTGCTGGGGTACTAGTCTGTCTGACGCCCAAGATCAAAGCATAAAGCCTTCAAGCCCAAAGCCGAAGCATATTTCCACCCTCATGAGGCCGTAACTTTCTTCGGCTTTGTTTGGGGACCGACTGGGATGCTCCTCTCCGTTCCGATGATGACGCAACCTGTTTTTCATTCAGGTCCGTCTAAAATCCTCATCAGCTGAAAGCCAAACTTCAGGCGCTACTTGGGGGTATACCTCATCAGCCCGGAAAGTGCACAAACATCCGGAGTTCGGGCCCGGGCTGAGGCGTGAAGAATGTTGGGTTGTGGGTCGGGTTTTCACTGCAGGCGTGCAGGGCTCAGCCAGGGTTTGGGATTCGGCAAGAGGAGGAAGCGGGAGTCCCCGGAAACAAGAGCTCATGTCAAGGGACGAGGTGAGACCGAGACCCGAGACCCCTAAACCCTGAAATGGCGAAAGCCTCCAACTCGCGACTCCAAATCCCATGCGTGCTTGGGAATGTGTGGGGGCGGCATGACGATTGGGATAGCATCCTGCATGAAACCTGATTAGTAGATGATTGGGAGGAATGTGTGCGAAATCTTGCGAGGGGCCAAGCAAGCTAGGTTTTTTTGCTAGACTTGCTTTCCAGCAGCTGCTACTCTTGTAATGAGGCATTGTCATTGAGCCGAGTGAAAGAAACGCTTTGTCTTTGTGTGCATGGATCTGCTGGGATTAGGCCTGAGCAGATTGGAGCCTTCCCCGACAAGGTCCTACAATTTCTGAACTCAATCAAAGCAGATATGCAGAAGCCCTGCTGACCCGTTGTGGTGTGAGGGTTGCTAGAACCGGAGCTGCGAAAGGATGTTGTGTGTTTGGCCCGAAGCGAATCTCTGAGCTACCCTATCTACCCTATTACCCTATACAGCCTGCAAGCTAAGCTGAGGTACTTGAAAGCCGTGCTCTTGGCCGAGTCTTCGGGCTGCACTGGTATGGGCTCCGGCCAGAGTGCAACATAAGCTTCAGGCAAGCACAAGCTACACTGACGTGGAAACGTTCCAACTATCGTGGGACAGCTTTTCGGTTCGTATTTTCAGAAAGAACGCAGGGGGCAGAGGCAGGCGACAGAGGGACAGGGAGAGAGGGAGAGAGCGGAAGGCTTCTGGCTCCCTACAATAACTATAGCCCAGGCATCTCTTGTGGTCGATGATTTTGTCGGTTGCAGGAGCGGTTCGGATACAGAGCTTCTGACCATGGGCTGTTCAGCAGTGGATCTTGGGTTGAGACCTCGACCCCCACGGACGAATTCAAGAGCAGATAACACCCCGACATGCTCTTTTGCCAGGATTGTCAGACCTTGAGAACTGGACTCCGATTGTGGGTATGCGTGCATGTAAGGTTACAGACATTGTATGGAGGTGTATCAGCAGCCTACTCAAGCCCTGCAAGCATTCAGGTACGTTCCAGCAGGATATCGCGATCCGCTTCTGATCCTCATTGAGGGTGACCGTCGGGCACCGCGGAGGAGACGCCTACTCCCATGCCCCACACGTAAGACCCTGCCGGAGCAACAGTCGCAGCCAGTATTTCTTGAACACCATCACTGTCGCGTTACATCCCTGCCTTACCTTTTGATCCCTTGCGGCGTCGTCCTGACCATGGTGAAGTCTCCTCATCGTCATCTCCATCACCATCATTATCTTCATCGTCGTCATCACCGTCATCTCATCACGAGCAGCATTGCCACAGGCCACAATCTGTATGAACGGGACATTCGTAAAGACTGGCCACAGTGAGCACATGCCCAGACCATGCTATGTATGAGACTGGACTGGTAATGGCAAGATGGGCTTAACCTAAGTGTGAGTTGTTCTTGAAGAAGCGTTTCTTGGTTCAGGCTTCATAGCCGCTATGTCAGGTTAAAGGCTTTTGTGAGTGCTGTCTTCCCCGAGGCGAGGCGAGTTACCCGATCAGAGCTTCCATTTCCATGTCAGTTCGGGGAAGTTCAGGGCCTCACGGGACGGTACGTAGATAATTTCTTCAGTGTTTGATCTTTGCTTCCTTCCGTTCTTCTTGTCGTACTTTTATTCCTAGCCAGTACCATTATTGTATAATTATGCACAGGTACTAAATCACTGGACTGAGTATCCACTCAGCCTGAGCCGTCAGGCTCCGCGCAAAGAAGCCTGGGCGCAAGGAGCAGCGCGATCCTGTCGGAAGCCTATTTGCCGAGTAAGTTTGACGGCCTAGCAAAGCATTCCGGATCTAAGTCCATGTGCATCCTTAGACGGTTGGTGGCTGCAAGCTTTGTAAGACCTTGCACTCGCATAAATGTTGGAGTCCGATCTCTGCAGAATTTCACATGGACCCGTATGAAGAGCGCTACAAGCTGGGAAAAATCAAAAATGGAAGTCTAATTCCTTGCATGACACAAACGCATAAACCGAGTCCACTCAAGTCACAAGATCTCAGAGCATTCGCACATGCCGTTTTCGGCATAATTTCCGGAGGGGTTTAAACCGCTCAGATCGCCGATCCCTGATTTATCCACCCAATCTGCCTGTATTCCAACTCTCCGCATTCGCTTTACAGAGTTGCAGCACGGTTGAAGGCAGATGATGATGACTGGCATGTCCGGCGCCACAACTCAGACTGAGCTCAGCTGCAAAAAAAAAGAGACCCAGTTTGCTTTCACAGGGGTCTTGCACTTGCCTTGTGTGGTCTTAAAGCAAGGACCGGCAACAGTTTTCCTTGAGAGCCGCTGCCGAAAACTTTCGAAGCGATCCGTCCTTAACGCCTTAAGGGTGCTTTCAGCCAAGCCAACCCTCGCGTGTCGAGGTCGCTCTGTCTCTGGAGCCCGGGAATGTGAAGGAGGAGGCGAAATCGAGAGACTTCAGGGCTTTGCGATGGCGATTTTCGTCCTGTTGGAGCTGAGCCATGTACTGCACTCGAGAAGCCTGGGTGGATGCAAGCAGCGATGGCAGACCCCGGCACTTTGCGCTGTTGCGGCAACCAATCCGAGGATGCATCGGAGTCATGACCTTGCTTTAGGCATTCGGCATCCATTCGTGTTGTCTTCGGTATGGTGCAAAATTTGGGCTTGGAAGCAGACATCGTACGGAGGTGACATGCCCATCGCCTCACGCCAGGTGAACGCAAGCCGTCTGCAGCTGCACATCGATGCTTTTAGAGATGCCTCCTTTGCTCCCATCTCAGAAGTGCTTTACTGGAGACGATGGAACAGTCAGAGCAGTAGTGGCGGCTCATGTATCAGACTTGTGGTGTTGCCGACCTTGCCATTGCCGGCCTCCAAAAGCACGGTAGAACGGTAGACATGTTGTCGACTAGCGACGACGAAAACATGCCATTTCACACCTGCCATCATAAGGACAACATGAAGAAGGACCACTGCATCGGTGGTTGGAATCAGGGGTTGGCATAGTTGCGAGAACGGGCGGGGGGGGGAGGGTAGGGGCTCTAGAAATGGGGCATCCTGTCGGCGACCATGCTTACATGTAAGGCGCACGACATGCTCTTTCGGACTAGGCAGCGTCCCGGGCTGGTACTCCCAGTGCAAAAATATCCATGCTGGGATGTTGGAATTTGTAACGAGGAGGGCATGCCGATGCCCGTCTTACTCTCAATCCGAACGAGCTGAGGTGTTTGTTTGCTCAGCTCGCTTTGTGTGGTGCATTTGTGTCTAGACTCGACATTGCATGTGACCGTATCTTTACAAAATCAGTATAATACGCTTGCTCTATGCGCTTTCCTTCGATTGTTTCAGAACGAGTAACCAAATACAAGATTTCATCACATGAAATGAGTCGCATGCAAGCTTTGTATCTATGCGCAGGAGACCACATGTTGGTAAACTCCAACTGCCGAACCTCTAGACTAGACTGTAGACGTGCGAACGACTGTTAGAAAGAGAGCAATGTGCTTTGACATGTGTGAGCGCGCTTTTCTGGGCTTAGAGCATGTGATGCGGGACACACTGTAGCCGAACCCACTGTCCTTTCTGATTTGGAGGACTTCGACATCCTCACTGGGCAGAAGAAGCTGCTTGGCTTGCTCACTCCCTTTGTTTTGGAACTTGTTGGGATGGCAGAGGCTAGGATGGAGACGTCAAGCCTTGAGTAGGCTCCTAGCAGGACGAAAGGTTTGAACAATTGCACAGCCTTGCTGACTCCCCAAGTTGTTGCAACACCTGCCCCGTCTGCTTCCCGGCCGCGTTCAAATCCTGCAGTTGTCCTTGGGATGATGAGCTTGCAATGCGCATATGATACTGAACTGGCTGCACGAAGACGCAGTCTCAGAGGCGCCTGGGTTGAGCGATGAAAGCCATCACGGATCACGACAGGCAACGCCTGGACGCCATTGCTCTTGACCGAGATGAAAAGATGTTTGTGGAGAGGATGGAGGGGCTGCTGCCTCAGTTCCGACAGTGCAGGTTTGAGATAGCTGGAGCGTATAGCTTCGCAGTTGAATATGCGTTTTAAGCAAATCTGAATATGATTGTAATAGAAAAACCATGTAGAAAGTCTGTATGTATGTTTATATTTACATATGTATAGATGTATGTACGTTAACATATACATATATATATATATACATATGTATATGCCCGGCCCCCCCTCCCCAAGATCTACGTTTGCAGGTTTGCAAATTCTGGATTTCCTGATTTCCGGCCTTGGGCACTTGGGGCGGGCAAACCTGGTATCTGGAATCCTGCGGCCTGTCAATCTGGAAATCTGGAATCTTGAGCCATGACGCCGACGAATTTCAATGTTCCACCTAGCTGAATTAGAACACGATGCTTGTGTGGTATCGCAGAAACAACAACAAGCTGGACTATCCCGTGTGCTGTATCATCGCTAGAATGTGGAAGCCAATGTTCTGTCATCAGCCCTTGTATTAGCCAGACCAAGCAGAGTAGACCAAGTCAAGGCAGTATACATACTGCCCGAATTCGAACTCAAAGCAACAAGCCCAAACAAATAAGTTAAATTGATTAGTTCCAAGACTTGAAGCGATTTTGCCACTCTCAACATGCCAGCTAGTTGAGCTGAAATACAATGCTTGTGTTGTACACGCACCCTAACTAGTAGCAACTACATGCTGGACTATCCGGTACACTGTGTAACTCATCTACAGAAGAAGACCTCTTTGATTGGCCAAGCCGTTCAACTTTCTCATTCGGCGACTTCAGTCAAATTGACAAGGTTCGAACAGCGTGTACAATAACTAATGAACCAAACCAAGAGCGTTCGATTTTGATCCGCCGTGCCTCAAGATACAAGCCTTTGTCATTTATCGCTCTTAGATGTGCAGGTCACGTGCTGAGGACTCGTAAATGGTTTGCGTCCTGAATAGCAGTGGTTCAACCACGCAGCTTCTTATAGTTCACTGCCCAACTTCGCAGCTGAAGGGTGTGAGAGTGGACAAGTGCGACCAATGTTCAGAGGGGGGAGCTTGAATATGGTCGTGATGCTTAACCTTCGGTGGGATAGCATTGCTGCCACAAGGCCATCAAGATAACTTCAAGCACTTAGCATTGTTGGTTGCATGTCCTCTGGTATGCTTTTGCGTTAAGCTCAGGCTGGTCGGAAGTAAAAGCACGCCGGTCCAGCACCCAGATTCTACCGTGTTGCACGAAGCGAGAGCTGCGCCTGCACGGACGTCAAGTGATTCGGAGTTGTTGAGAATTGTCCGTCAGCGGTTCCATGCGGAGCCCGTTAGGCGCTAGGTAAACGATTGAAGTCTTCCACTGTTGAATTCGGGGTATCCAGAAGACCGCCTTATGCTGAGGGTGATTATCGTACCTCGCCGGAGCATCTAACCAGACCTCGCAGCTCGAAGCTTTCAATACCTTGCTGCTCGCCAGGGGTGATCAGCATCAGCAATAGACAAGCCACCCAAGCAAAGCAGATGGAGCCGCCCCCACAAGCAGAAACATTATAATTGCAAGACGTCTGAGTTTTGCACACATCAAGTTGCCCTGCCAGAGAGGTTTAGCTGGACATGCCGAAGAGACCCCAATGTCTGCAGGCCGTCCGTCAGCTCAATCCTTTCCTCAAGAAGTCGAAGAGTCTTGGCTTCGGGTTTGAGTCAACCACTGTACCAAGTAAGAGTGGAGTCGTAAGCTTGGTTAAGGGTTTAAGGTCGTGAAAGCTGTCGATGTTTCAGGAGGTGTGCAGGCTATGGGTTGAGGCAATCAGATTCCGGGTGTAATTCGGGACTTGGCTGTTTGCACAACAACTGGAATTACTGAAAGCTGCTGGGAATGCTGGGCTCAGGGTCCACGGTTTGCATTTCGATCAGAATGGCAGATTTGTTTTTGCCGTGTGCCGTGTGCATAGACCATGAGCCCCAGACTCAGGGCCGACACTAAACCTTACGGACCAAGTACAAGCCTGACATGATTGATTAACCCGGAACCCTGAAAGGTCCTTCTGCCTATCTGCCTGTTTTTTCTCTCTGCTGCTGGAACCCAGGAGCGTGCCGAAGCTCCTCGGAAATCTCTCCCGAAAGCTTCCCGCAGTCCAGGCCCAGGTCCGGCTTTGTCCTTCCTGCTTTCGTCCCTCTCGGATTTGGAATTTGTTAGGGTCAAGAAAAAGGGTTTAGAGGTTTAGATGACGACGAGGACCAGTAGGACCACCAGGACCACCTCTGCGACCAAGACGACCATGACAAGCAGGAGATCACCGGAAGAATTGTTATCACCCTTCTGTCTCTTCTTCCATCCTACAAATGCTGATCACTGCAATACTTTTGATACGCCCCAACCAACAAAACA